ATAAAGAAGATCTGTAAAGTTGCAAAGACTAACGTCTCAAATCCAAACAGATATTCTTCATAAAATTTAAGAGTCAGCAACACCTACCTAAAACGGCTCGTTCTAACACGCCCCCACATGTCTACATCACTATGTGGGAAGATTTGCATAACGCCGCCCAAATGTTCACGCAAAGAAAGAAAGCGTAACTTTTATTCTGGCTGTAGTATTGTTGACACTGCAGCCATGTCGTGAAGGCACTGTGTGTTTCGTTGTGAAAGCGAAACTACTTTGTTTGGTCTTCCAAAAGAGGACGATATCACCTCGCTTTTCAGACCGATGAGCTTTGTAAAAATCGACGTGTTTCAGAAAGACGGGGCATAGAGGAGAAACAATAATGTACAGTATGTGGAAAATAATGTGTTTTTTCAACCTTAAACCGCATAAACACATTTCATTACACCAAATACACAAAATAATGTTCTTTTTAGCAACATCATAACCCCTAACCCCTTTAAACTTATAGTTATTATTAAGTTTAACAACTTATTGTTATTAACAACTTACTGAAATGCTATTTTAAACTTATTATGTTGGCTTGGCACAGTGTGAAAGACGAGAGAACTGTCACCACACCGCAGTCCGTCCGTGCTCACAACAACAGCATTTGTACTTGTTTTAGATCCTTTTAAAATAAAATATTCAAGCGATTGCATACAATCCACCCATTAGAGCACAACAAGAGCTAAATTAATTTGTTTGTGAGCTGTTTTAGTGTGAAACTGAAAGCGTTGCGTCAGGTATCTGAGATCGCGAGACAGCAGCGTCCTCATTAAACTTCTGTATTTGCACGTCTTGAAGCCTTGTGAATGCAAACACTCCAGCGAATTTACAGAATATAATTATAAGAACATATTAAAGGGCTAAATTGAGTGCATGTGAGCTTTATTTATGTTTGACTGACATCCGGTTCGCGTCGCGCCGAATTCTCAACACTCGAATGGACAAAAAGGCTACATACAGAAACTACATCATTTACATGTCTTTTACAGCCTTAAAACACTCCAGTGAATGAAGACAGTACAATTAGAAGAACATAAAGAGATAAAATTAGTGCTTATGAGTGCCTGTGAGATATTCTGTGTCTAACTGCAGAGCAACGCGTCGATTCTCGGACACTCGCGCTCCGGACCGCATCTATACGGGGAGGCTGCAGACCTGGAGCAGGCAGATCTACGGCCCAGACAGTTTCACGGCCCTGTTGTCCTGATGCGTTCAGTGGGGGGAGGAGGATACACGGCGAAATTATTAAACCGACGCTCGAAACTTCATTAATAACCGTCCCGTCCATAGACATTGACTGAGAGTTTTTTTTTGTGTGTGTGTGAATTGAAATATAAACAGTACATTTATATCTTTATATATAAATGTAATGATCTTATACATATACAGATCTTTACATCCCCAGAGTGAGGAAAAGGGCTAAAAAAATCACCTTGGACCCCTCACACCCAGCCCACTCTCTCTTCGAACGGTTGCCTTCTGGTCGGCGCTACAGAGCACTGAGCACCAGAACAGCCAGGCACAAGAACAGTTTCTTCCCGCAGGCTATATTCAGCCTGAACAATTAATCTTTCATAATTATACATCGTCCATCACAACTAACATAGTTATCTGACATATTTATATTAAACTGCACACTTTGTAAATAACATATCTGCACACTAATAACATATCTGTACATTTATATAAAGATACATTCAGATATTAACCATATATGTCCATCAGACATACAGTGTAATCATATGGACCATCAATGAAATATATATTTAATATTGATTTATGCTTTAGTATTCACTACTGGTTGTCATACAGCAACAGACTCTGGAGAGCGGAGGATTCAGCAGTATGACTCTCTTAAACGAGAGGAAGCCTAACGACACTCGATCTTGGTAGGGGAACTCTTAAGAGTGGAGGTTGAAAGAGCCTACAACTGATATTACTGCCTAAGCGGAGCTCCGGGGAGCAGAGGCTTCAGCAAGACGACTCTCTTAAATGAGAGGAAACCTAACAACGCTCAACCCTGAAGAAAGAGCCTACAAACTCATATCACTGCCTAAGCTGAGCTCTGGAGAGCGGAGGCTTCAGCAGAATGACTCCCCTAAATAAGAGGAAGCCTAACAACGCTCAGCCCTAATACAGAAGCTCTAAAAAGTGGAGGTCTCAGCATAACGACTCTCTAAACGAGAGGAGACCTGACCACAATCAACGCTTGAGAGGAAGCCTAACAACACTCAATCCTAGTCTAGGAGCTCTTAAGAGTTGAGGTCTCAGCCTAACGACTCTCTAAAACGAGAGGAGACCTCAGTACACTCAGTGCTAGAAACAGTTAGCGCGGCTCACCAAAGAACCTACAAACTAATAGTACTGCCTAAGCGGAGCTCTGGAGAGCGGAGGCTTCAGCAGAATGACTCTCTTAAACGAGAGGAAGCCTAACAACACTCAA